ACTACATAAATATTTAAAACTTATGTACCCCAGAAATTACAATTAAAATTAAAGGCAAATGATAAAGGAAATAGATTATTTTCAGTGTTCTAAAAATATTAATTTTTATCTAAAGATATTCAGTATGAAAACATAACTTTGGCTATTTATTAATATGCATCTAAACCTTAAAAAGGCATATACCCTTGTATTTAGCAATTCCACTATAAGGAATTTTGTTAAAATGTAACAAACGTCACCAAAAATAGTCAAGTTTTCAAGTGAAAAAAGCAGCCTGCAGAGTGTGATCAAACAAAATTTTAAGTCTTAAATTTACATTGGCCTATCATGATGCATAAGGTTGGCAATGGTTTTTCTATGGAACAGGATAACAGAAAGTTTCTTTTGCTTTCTGATATTTCAGGATATTTCCAAAATATTATTTTGCAATTTACAAAAACATTTAAAACTTTTGAAAGAGAATGTTCCTAGATGGCGGCGGAAGGTTTTCTGAGATCAGAAAACAAAGCCTCTACATTAAGGAGACGTAGATATCCACAGCGCAAGGCTCTAAATGATGGCCATTGTATTTCCTATGAACTGACTAGAGCAGAAAGCATAATGCTTCCACAGGATGATAAAAAACAAAAACAAAAAAAAAACAGGAGTTTTTCTTCATGCCATTGTAGAAGGCCTGTGTGGTCAGGGGTAATGTTGTATGTGCCAATCCTGTCCATGCAGGCCAACGAAGCGACTGGTGGGAATCCACAGAGCAGAAGAGGGTCAGAGTATAGGTACCCGCCCCCCGCCCCTCACCACCACCACCACCACTCCACTCCCTCCCAGGAGATCACTGCAGCCCTCCACCCAAGTCCCAAGTCCCCTGCTGGGTTCCTGTTAGGCAGTGTTTTCCATACTACTAAGCTTCCCTCTGAAGTCCTTGGTTTCCCAATAGCTTCTCCCACCCTTGCCCCTTCAGGTCTAGGACTTTAAAGCTTCTCACTAGTACCAGCCCCAAACTACTGCTTCATCTCTTGTTGAGTTTCCTAAACCCTGCCCACACCTTTGTAAATATTCTCTAATAAACTCTCAATCAAGTCACCCAATTGGCATGTTGCCTGATTCCCAACAGAACTCTGCTTGATGTAGTAATACCCGCAATGAAAAGAAAATAAGGCCAAGTGCCTTTATACTGCACAAAAGATCTGACCTAAAGTGGTAAACACATTATTTTCATTCAAGTTTGAGATAAAAAGTTTAACCCTATGTTAACTCTTATTATTCAATGATTATATGATACCAAGAGTATCTTATGCTTTCTAGGTTTTTGTTTTTAAAGACTAAGGAAGTTTAGTCTTTAAACTACATAACCTCAGCACATACAGGACAGTGTATTAGAAAAGGGACAGAATACTGGTTATCTATTTCTGATGAGACAAACTGCTTTTGTCACAAATTTAAAAGGTAGGCATTTTTCTCTCATGTTCCCCTTGTATGTGCCACAGAACACCTTTTTACTTTGTTGTGATTGGGTTTTGCTTAGCCCCGAGCTTCACAAGTTCACTGCTATTTCTGATTGGCTCCACAGGAAAGCGGCAAGGACTCACATTGGGTTGATTAACCCTTAAGATGTGAGAAGTCCACTAAAGAATTCCTTCTGAAAATGTAAGACCATCCCCCAAGCTTGTTTCAGCAGCAAGCTCCGGTTCTGAGAAGAACATGGGGTCTGTCACTCAGGTGGTCTCCAGCTCAAGTCCCAGGAAAAGGGGCGGGGGGGGGGGGGGGGGATTCTCTTTTCACTCAAAACTGCAGTGAGGCATTCCAAACACAAGGAGGAATGTAAGAAAGCACAGCCCAAGAGATGGGAGAAAGGGATTCTCTCTCCTTGAGCAGAACAATGCAGGCACAACAGTGGGCTAACATGGGGGCCCTCCCAGAGCAGTGGAGGTCAACTCTAGCACCTGAGAGTCCCCTGAGTGACAGCTCTGGAGGTTCTGGTGTTTCTCTCACCTGGCACATCACCAAGGCACCAAGAGCTCAGAGATTGGCAGCAGAATTGCCCTTGATGGGGGGCACAATGTCATCAAAATGGCATCAGAGGCTCTAATGGAAGCCAAAGGCTTTAGCTGCCAAGGTAGTCACAGTGTCATCAGCAGCTACAGAGGATGCTGACGGCCTTGGAAATGACAAGAGAGAGGATCCTTGGCAGTGGGCACCAGCAACAGTGGCTAGCTACCCTCCTGTGACGAAGAGGATTCAAGAAGCAGTAGTTTAAGGGGACAGCTTCTCTCATATCAGCTCTCTTTTACTTTTTATTCTTGAACAAAGTGAGTTTACAGTATTAGGTGTTATCTTAAGCCCTCAGGGAAAAAAAAAAAAAAGATCATTGAACGATAAACTCTGAATAGAGGGAAATCTAAGCAGTGGCAAGTCCGAAGTGGCCGAGGGCAGCATAAGGACAGTGTGAGACTCATGATGAAAAACATCATCTCTTTTCCATCTCTGCCAAGAACTAGGCTCAGATGTCAACAGCTCACAATTGCTATCGCACAACTGAAATATGAATGCTAGAGTGTTGACCTCCCGTTTCACTCATTTAATGAATAATACACACTAGAAAAATAAAAGCACTGAAGGTATAAAAGCGTAAGACTTCAAATACCTTGAAATATTTTGTATATAGTTTTTCTGTCTCTGTGATTCCTACAGAGTGGTAAATTTTGTATGTTTCCCTAAGGACAGGGGAAATCAATGAAAATACCACAGAATGCATTGTTATAAGCCAAATGTTTATTTCTCAACAACAGAGACAATAAAAAGGAAAATGTTGACTTCCTCAAGATTAGCAATAAGTGACAAGGCACCATGAGTACTGGGTCAAAAACAAGTTTCCTTCAGGCATGGGCTATCTTATTCTTTTATAATATCCACCCCCCCATCCCCCAAGTGTGTCCACAAGGTATTGTGTACCTCCAAGGCTTTCAAGAACCTGAGCATTAGCCCTAGGACAGAGGTTCTCAACCTGTGGGTCGCGACCCCTTTGAGGGTCGAAGGACCCTTTCACAGGGGTCGCCTAAGACCATCGGAAAACACATATATAATTACATATTGTTTTTGTGATTAATCACTATGCTTTAATTATGTTCAATTTGTAACAATGAAAATACATCCTGCATATCAGATATTTACATTACGATTCGTAACAGTAGCAAAATTACAGTTATGAAGTAGCAATGAAAATAATTTTATGGTTGGGGGTCACCACAACATGAGGAACTGTATTAAAGGGTCGCAGCATTAGGAAAGTTGAGAACCACGGAGCACAGTAATTAAGCCACAGTACTGTCACTCGTGGGAACTGGCCGACCTAGATGCCTTCCCTTAATTGCCACCCTCTCTCTGTTGCATGATGTCATTGGGCCATCAGAGCCCTTCTAGGAGAACTATCATTGTTCAGCCCTTCATCCTCATTTTCCCCATCTCACCCAAAACTTTAGAGACCTCTCAGAACATAGATCATTACATTAAAACAAGAAAATAAGGAAGACTGGAAAAGCCACACATGGGGTAAATTAGGGTGCTCCGCTGAGCTTCAGAAATAAAAGAAGACAGAGTGAAACCTAAGGAATTTCTGTAGAACTATAAACACCCCCCAAATACCACTGAGGTTTATTTCCTTCTCTATTACCAAATGGAATTTGGCTAATTATTCCCTGAAAATAAACACATTAACTCTATCATTAATAAAATTAACACTAATGGCCAGTTACAAGAAGGATGCCATGATGCATTGGTAGGGATGAGACTAACATCACCAATATAAACTGGGAATAAGAACGTATAGGATTCTGGTTTTTCATTAAAAGCAAACTTTAATACTTATAATTGTTCAGACTGTGCCAGATCATGAGGAAAATAATTTGATATGTGGCTCAATATTGCAATCAAAAGCATTCCAATTTTGGAAAATCAAATGTAGGTAAGAAGACTGGAACAGCTACATATATGTTCTTTCTGTAAGTCAAGCACTGCAGGAAAAAATGCTATGAAGTAGTTGATGCCTTGGGGTGGTCAGAAGTTTGCAATTGTGCAAAAGGAGGCTAAAAGCAATCAGGTTGCTGAATGAAATTCATGTGTTCCAATCACTGAAGAAATTTTACAATACTGCAGAAAACCCATCTATTACTAAATCACCTAAACTTTGATCCACTATGTATACCTATGAGTACAACTGAAGTACATTTTTATAACCAGATAGACTGACCTTAATATGCACACATACCTAAGACAACCAGCAGAATATAAGCATGCATAGGTGATCTTCAAATGCTAGGATGACAGAGGATTCATTAGAGATACATATACTCACACATATACAATTAAGATATACTATCCTCTCATCCTTCATTTTACAATTTCATGTGAACCTTTCACTTACAGAGTAAAAATGTCTAGATTCCCACTCCATTTAAATATATTCAAGCAAAGCTCCTGGGAAGGTTTCCAGAGAGTTAGGTTCCTTTAAAAATGGCCACGCACGAACTAAAGCTTTCGTCTAACAAAAGTGAAAGAGTAACTGATATGGGATCTGTACATTCACTCTGCACAAGGTTCCTGTAGCTGAAAAGCATTAGTCACAGACAAACAGCAAATCAGATTACAGCTCTGGAGAACCATACTCTGCCTCTTCCAGCAACCCTGCCAGCTCACACATTATAGAGGCCCAACCACCTGTTTCCTGAGGAATTTGTAATCTACCTTCTCCATTAGTTCCCCAAAGGGTCTCTTACTTTACACCTGTGCCCCCCTTCATTCATTCCACTGCATTCACCTTTCATCTCAAAAAGATTAATTAACGATAAGAGTGTAAGGGTTCCCTTTAAAGGCGCAACCAAAAAGAAAAGCCTTCAGCATTACATTTTATAACAAAACAAAAACTCAAATTCCGAGAGTCTCCTGAATTAAAAAAGCCATTGCAGCAGGAGACCCATTCCTGGGTGCCTGGCCTGTTTTCACATTACCTGCTTCAGTGTACTTCAATCCCACTTTTTCTTCTGCGTCCTTTGTCTTTGGGGGTGGCCAGACAGCTTGGAGTCTGCCAGGAGTCCTATCGTCCTGCTCAGTGGGGCTGTGTTCAGGCTGTTTAAAAAGTGGGCAAAGAAAATGATCAGTTAAATGAAATATGGCTAAAGCTAATTATTCCCCGAAAACAAACATGTTAACTCTAACATGAATAAAATAATGGCCAATTGCACATTGCATTCAATGATCCTTTCCCAGACATGTAAAGTGATCAGTGGGAGTGAAAATTAAAAAAACAACTCAAGGTTATGGGGATGTAATTACTGTACAGCATGGTAACTATAGTCAATAGTGTTGTAGTTTAAATTTGGAAGTTATTAAGAAGGTAAATTTTAAATATTCTCATCACATGAAAAGAACTTTGTAATTCCGCATGGGGATAGAGGGTAAAGAGCCTTATTGTGCTAACTGTTTCACAATACATACAAATGTCAAATCATGTTGTATACCTGAAACTAATATAATGTTGTATGTTCATTATACTTCAATTAAAAAAAAACACACCTCAAGGCCAAGTATTACACAACCCTTGATAGATGATTTTTATCATGTAACTATCTCTAAAAAAAATCACAAATCCACTTTGAGCTGTAGATATAGATACAAATGTACTCCAATCAAGTACACTTATAGGAATGTTTACAAGTGTATCCCAAACAACTCCATGGTTTTTTCTGATATAATGACTACTATTCCACTTTCCATCAACATTAGCTGTAGGCCAAGATACACTTCTCAAGCAGCCCACATTGCTAGTTCAATTCGCTTTTCTTTCCTATTAAAAAAATAATAGTGAGGTGGCCTTCAAGCTATTTTTATCCATTGATTTTTGTAACTATGCAAGTGTTATATTGTGTTTAGTTTTTAACTAAAACCCAAGATAATTCTACCAAAAACTTTTTAATTTTTAACACTTTAACTGATGAACTGTATAAGAGGAAATAATTGTATTCTGAGTTGATACAACCCAAGACGTGCTATTTGTTGTCCTTATGAACCTCTAAGATTTACTGGACAGGTAGTCTATAAATTACCAAATTAATTTTCTTTGAGTAACAGTTTTTATTAATTAGATAGTCACCACACACTAACTTCACTTAATCCTCACAACCACTCTATAGGTTGAGGGTTAGCACTTTTTTTTTTCTTTTCTCCTCATGAGGAGATTGAGGCTCAGAGGTGATCAGGGTCACCCAGACAGTAAGTGGCATTGTCAGAATTAAAATCCAGGTCTCATTTTAAATGCAGTGCTCAATCAGGATGCCTTGTAACCAACACAGAACATTTCAATTACATCACAAACAAGTATTCTGCTGAGTGGCAGACATATAAAAGAAAAATACTTTTCACCAAGGTATATAATTAAGTGGTGAGGAAACCTGGGCTGTTTCCATATTGCATCGCATCCTCATGCTGCTCAGTTTTATATGAACATTTACTATTAATGTTTAAACTCCGAGTGGCAGCTTCCCTTTCCCACCAGCACATAATTACATACACCTCTCTTATACCAATCCATAAAAACATAAGGAAACGCTGCTGTCCTACTCCTTACAAGGACAATTTCAATAATAATCATCATTCACCTAAAAGACAGTCACTAATAATAGGTGATCGGAATTCACTTTGACAGGAAACCTCAAAAGCAATACAGCAGCATCACATTGTAGGACAAAATGGAAAACCCAATTCTACATACGCTTTTGGAATCCGAGGGGCCGTCTGCTGGCCTTGCCTTGGACCGTTCAAACACAGCTCTTAGGGACTCCTTTTCATGCCTCATCTTGCGCTTGAGAGCTTCCAGCTCAGAGGTGTCAGCTGTGGTCCCCTTTTTGGGGGGACGGATGAACAAGGCTTTAAAGGCCTCCAGGGCGGTTTCTGGTGGCTTCGGTTTGACCTCTCCACTTGGGGTTTGGGCTTCTGCTGGGCCGCCCTGGCTCTCCTGGGCAGCGCTGCAGCCCATCTCTCCTCCCCGGGGCAGCTCAGGGTCTTCTGCCTTCACTTCGGCCCTGGGCATGTCGATGCTGAGGAGCTGGGAGAGCTGCTCCAGGAGAGTGGGAGGGGCCTTCAGGTCACTGGCTTTCTCCCCAGTCTTCCCTGTCGGAGGCCCTGTCTGTGCTAGGGACTTCTGAACGGGCTGGGTCAATTTGAGCAGAGCCAGGTCCCCATCCTTTGGTTTAATTTCGGTGATGGTCTCCCCACCCTCAGCGGGAGACCCCTTCTTCAGCACGCGGAGCCCACTGAAGAAAGCTGGTAGCTGGAATGACTTCTCTCCAGGGGCTTCTTTTTTAGAAGAGGTGTTCTCGGTGACACCAGCACTCAAGCTCTGTGTTCCCACAGGTAGAACTTGGGAACATTCTTCCCCAGCCTGTCCTTGACTGGGGCTGTGCTCCGTCTGAAGACCACCTTCACCAGGTTCTGGTTCACTACGTGTCTCAGGGGGAGCCCCCTGGGGACCTTCCTCTCCGAGCTCTGCAGCATCCCTCTCCCCAGCGGCAGTGTTCTCGCTACAGTCTCCTGGCTTTTCTTTGGGCTCCTCAGGTGGCTCGGATAAAACAACACTTGGGGACTTTGGGCCATTGGTGTTGCTTCCCTCTTCTGGCTCCTGGCCACCATCATCAGAGTCCGAATCACTGGTGGTGGTCACCAGGGTCCCGCGAACCAAGATGGCATCGTCTCTGCTCACACTCAGAGCAGTGAGTGGAAGAAGCTCTTGACCAGGGAGAGAAGTCCCTGCCTCTGCTTTTCCCTGACCTCCCTCCGACTCCCTCCCTGCCTCCTCCCTCGCAGTCTTCCCATCATCTCCTCCGAGGCCCGGTGCAACCTGAGCCCCTGCCTCCTGCTCATCCGAGCCCTGGCTGGGACCATCCAGCCCACGCGTGGGATCCACCACTAAAGGGTGGAATGCTTGCAGCACCACATCTTCCTCTTCGGGCTTCACAGATTCCAATTTACTCGCAAACCCAAAGAAGGATTTCATAGAGAACTTGCTCAGGATCGACTGGGCCATTTCGGGTCCTGCTTCAGACTTGTCTGGTTGCGAGACATCACTGCCATTCACAGGGTCACCGACGTCCTCCATGCCTCACAGCAGCGCCCTCGATGGCAGTCCCGACTTCTGTTACCTGCCCCTGCTCTCAGTGTATCCACTCCATCAGCTCTTAACTTACAGGACAGGAGCAACAGGACCCGGCGGCCGGCTCCTCGGCCACCCAGCAGCACACTTGGTCTCTTTCAGGTCGGTCACTGTGCTCCCCTTCCGGTCTGTGCGGCCACGGTGCGCCCAGGGCCACTGTAAAAAGTCCGCGGAGCTCTATGCCCAGAAGCTGCCTGGGCTGCGCACCTTACTACTCGCGGGCTGGGAGGCTGCTCCTCTGGGACTTCCGTATTTATTTCCGTGGACAAAAGGCTTTTTGTCGTAAGGAAAGTCAGCCGGCCCCAGTCATCCCAGCCCAGGACTTCACCACAGCTCCGCCCCAGTGCCTGTCTTTCTCCTGGTTGCTTTCAACTTCCTCATTGGTGAGCAAGTGAGGCTCCAGAAAGTGCTGAGCCGGCAAGCTGCTCCTGACAGCCCTCCACCACCCCAGCAGCCCAAGACGTTCAAAAGTGAATCAGCAGAAAATGACTGAAATACTTTTACGAGCCCTCCTTTGCCATCTAAATTATGGTCAGAAGCTTGTGTCATCCAGGCCAAAACAAAACAAACAAACAAACAAAAACAACACACAAAAAACTAGCAGTGCACACAGATCAACAGCCACTCACAAAGCAGAAATAAAAGTAAAGAAAGAACTTGATCATCTCAAAATCCCTGGAACTCAAAAGCAGTTAATTTACTGCCCTTGAAGCTTTTTTTTTTTTAAGTGCTTTCTTCCGCTTCCCTGCAGGTTTCATCTGGAATGCAGATTTTAGCTGCGGAGGCCAGAGAAGGAAAACCAACGCGACTGGTTTCAGATTACTGCTGTTTTAGCTCTGCCCTGGTGTCTCAGTGTTCCACAAACAAGTACTTAGACAAGCACGCCCACCACACCCAGTGTCCACCAGCCTTAGGGTGGCAGAGTAAACAGCCCCAGCAGGAATGGTTACTCTCCACACTCCCTGCCAACCTCAGGCTTCTTCAGCAGCTCTGCCTTCCTGGCTCTCTTAGGAATCCTGGCGGCTAAAGGGCACCTCTCTCTGCTTCAGTGATCCAACCAACGAAAGGAAGCCTGGCATGGTACAAGGTAACACACAACCTGCCTTGTTAGGCAAAGCAATTCACCGAAGTCCCCGAGGAGCCACATTCCTCTAAGGGACAAAACATCTGAAAGGTCTCTACCGGCCAGGTCTCTATCAAAGACTCAATTTGCCTAAAGCAGAAACGGGACAGACAAAACCACCACCCACCATCAGCTCAATGTAGTTCCCAATACTCTGATTATATCCTGGGAACCTGGCAACTGAGGTCGTGGAAAAACTGCAGCCCTGTCTCCCAGCTGCATAGTTGCCTCTTGGGACAGCTTCCTGTCGTACCTGAAGGTCTCAGTGTTTCTCTTTCAAATCCTGTCCAGTCAGCAGGCATTGAGTAAGCACCTGGGATAGGCAAGGCACCGTGCTGGATCAGGAGAGTCAAGCTAGCTTAATAGTTACCGTGGCTCAAAAGTAATCACCGGCTCTCTTTGAGCCCAAGTGTTAAACACAAACAGCAATTTATTCTGCAAAATAGTTGTTGCCAACAAGCCAAAGGACAGTCTTGCCTTCTCTGTAGCAGGGAATGGCTGTGGGTCCCCCACTGATAACTTGTATCATGTTCCCCAATAAATATGAACACTAAGAAATTCTGATTGCAATAGCACGTCTAGCAATGTGTTCAAAAGGAACTCTCGCACAAAGGGGGTACATATTGTATTCCATCCATCCTTATAGGAAAGTTAAGATAGCACTTCCTAATCCCTGATTTGACTATGTCTAAATGGATACTTTCCTGTTTGCTAGTGATCCTAGTATATTTTGGGATTATGAACTAGGGCACACGCAATTAAAATACAAGTCCACCACACAGGCAGAAATATTCATTGGTGCCATTTAAGTCTCAGACCCAGCTTTTTGTCCAGAGAAAATGCACATTGACCAAATCAGACTTCTGCTTCAAGGCTGAGGGAAAAAAGGAATCATCACACCTGCCTATAAGATCAGTCTTCCAATATATGGGTGAGGGGAGGAGACATGGCACATATTTCCTTCTTTAACTGAGAAGGCTCCATCTTCTCAGACATAACTACTAACTGATTTTTAGAATACGTTTCAAGAAGCCTCAGCAGATTTGGCAAAATGGGACATAAGTTGGAGAGACTTGTTGACCTTTCTACGCTATAGCATGGAGCAAAATTATAGTTTCAGAATCCTCTCAATACCCACAATGCTGATACATCATGGAGGGGGGGCGGGCAAGTCATGGGTCTCAGGAGATGATGTGATTCCAGCCCCTCAAGGTGGGTAAGGTATTATTAGGTTCATTTTAAAAGTGAAGCAACCATGGCCAAGAGAACATAACTGCCCCAGGTTGCACAGCTAATGAGTGGAGAATAGTAATCATATCTAACAGTTATTAGGTGTTTACTATGTGCCAAGCACTGTTCTACATTAACTGACTGATACATATAACTATGAGGTCGGTTTTATTCTCTTTTTCCTATTTGGAAGCACAGCAGGATAAAGTGGTTTTCCCATGTTCACAGCATCGGTGAGCGGTGAAATGAGAACCTGAGTCCAGGCCATCAGGCTCCAGAATCCACACTCTTAATCACTCTTCTAAAACCTTGACTTCCACCTCCTGCCAAAATAGGACGCCACACACACCTGAATTGTGAGATATGAAGGCATATCAGCTTATGTGGTTGGTGGTCTCAGTACTTTACCCTCTGAGATGACACAGAATACTGACTTCACAAAAACCTTCATGAGAATGACCATTCTTTTCCCTTGCTGTAATTGAGGGGAAAAATCTAGAGGCGCTGCTTAGAAAAATCAAGCAAAAATTCCTAGCTGGCCCTGGCCGATGTTGCTTAGTTGGTTGAATGTTGTCCCATGCACCAAAAGGTTGCTGGTTCAATTGCCAGTCAGGGCACATGCCTGGGTTGCAGGCTCAATCACTAGTGGGGGGCTTGCAGGAGGCAGCCAATCAATGTTTCTCTCTCTTTCCCTCTCTCTTCCTTTCTCTCTAAAATTAATAAAAACATATTTTTAAAAATTCCTTTTTAAAAAAATATGTTTTTATTGATTTCAGACAGGAAGGGAGAGGGAGAGGAAGATAGAAACATCAATAATGAGAATAATTGATTGTTTGCCTTCTGCACGCCCCCTACTGGGAATGGAGCCCACAACCTGTGCATGTGCCCTTGACCAGAATCGAACCTGGACCCTTCAGTCTGCAGGCTGATGCTCTATCCACTGAGCCAAACCAGGTAGGGCCCTAGCTGGCTTTTCTGCTGGTCACAATCAAGACATTGAATCCTCTGGACTAAAACACATCAAGAGGCTTTCCAGCTTGCCTTGACAATTCCCTTTCTTTCAAGAAGCATGACTCCTGCCCTAGCCAGTTTGGCTCAGTGGATAGAGGGCTCCCGGGTTTGATTCCAGTTAAGGGCACATACTTCGGTTGCAGGTTCCCCGGCCCTGGTCAGGGTGTATGCAGGAGGCAACCAATCAATATGTCTCTCTCACATCAGTGTTTCTCTCTGTCTCTCACTCTCTTTAAAAGTCAATGGAAAAATACCCTCGGGTGAGGAAAGAAGAAAAAGAAGGAAGAAGGAAGAAGGAAGAAGGAAGAAGGAAGAAGGAAGAAGGAAGAAGGAAGAAGGAAGAAGGAAGAAGAAGAAAGAGAAGAAGAAGCATGATTCCTAACACAAAGATGTATTCACCCAAAAAGCATTATTAAGCACTGACTATGTACAAAGCTCTGGGGATATAAAGGTGAAGAAATTCCAGCCCTCCATAATCATGAAATGTGTAGTTTAATGGGGGAAATCAGCCAAGAAAGAGGTGATTCTAGCCATAGACTGTAACCAAGTGCTTTATACCCCAGATCCAGTGAACAGCAATAGGTGGACCTAAAATAATTTTGAATGAAAGCAAGCCATGACTGCCTAAGTATGAAGCTGAGTAAGAAAGAGCACCATGGTAGTTCAAATAGATCTCTGAATATTGACTCTCTTGCCGGCCACTGGTCCTCATGACCATGAAAAATATTACTACTTCTGGTCATTTAGGGAATTGAAATTCATTTCAGACTGTAATGTTCAAATAAGCAACCTAGAAATTTGATCTTAGTTGGTTTGAAAAATGATGCCATTTACTGCTGTAACATTTTCAGGAGGGAAATAATCACTTCTCTTGGACATTATGTATTTCAGTGTTTTATTCTGCTATAAATACTTATTAAGCACCTAAAACCTACTCCAAACCAGGGACAGCTAAGACTGTCACATTTACAACCTCACTTGATCGTCTTCTGTTCTAATCTCAAGACACCCAAGCTCTTTAATAGCTACACTTGAACAGAAAACCAAATAAAAATGATCTACCTTAGACAACTAAGTTAAAACAGGCATGATAAATAATTAGGTAGCATTTGACCCACATGTTCTTTCAACTATTTGTTAAAAAACAATCAGTACCCAGCTACTTGAAAATGGAACATAGTACATATTTGTGTGGAAAATTTACTACCAGTGAATTTTCCATGTTTCTCTCATCTCACTATCCTCTCCAATTGAGGCTTCAGCCAATTGTACCTCATGGCAATAAGAACATCAGTCCCACTTGGTAAGATAAGCCTAAAAAGTGATTACATCACCTCATGGGAGCAGTAGAAACAAGCTCCTTGAGTCTCACAAGATTGATTCATCAGCATTAAAAACTAAAAGAAAAAAACACACACAAAATAAAACAATAAAAAAAAACCTATATGCAGAAGTTGGATGTTGCCTAAAAAGAAAACTTCCTAGAACCACTTCCCTTTACCCTGTGTGGCCTTCGCCCATATCATTCAGCTTAGATAATTCCTTCCCACATTCTCATAAAACCCCGAAAGGCAAGGGAAAGTAAAGCAAACGAGATTACATTTCACAGCATTAGGCTACTTAATTCTCATGTTTCTCTTTATCCAATTTATTTCGAGTTCTGGGCCTGAATTGAATAACTAATTGCTTCCAGCTTCCTAAAGTGGTTCAACTAGGTTCATGTGAGGCTTGCTAGAGACAGCAAGTAGAAAGTTGAATTTTCACTAGTAAGAGTAAGTAAAAGTATAGAAACTATATCTGTGAAAGAAAAAAGTTTGAGCAATAGATTGGGAAAAGTAAGTAAACTATAACTAAGGTATGAGTGGGGTAATGGATGGAGATGGGTTTTTGGGGTTCAGGAAGTATGTTTTAACTTACCAAATGAAGTTGAGATCTGAGGAAATTATGACATCACAAGTACTCCAAAGACATTTGTTACATGAGTCAGAGGCCATATGGAAGGAGTAGGTTATGAAAGAGTGTTGGTAGAATCGAATTGTTGGGAGGCTGAATGGGATTTTACAAATATTAGAAACCAATTAGCTTAGCCTTATTTTAAAGAGGAAGTCAAGTGGAGCTAAATAACTGGTACCAGTTCACACTGCTCAAGCAGTGGCAAGATGGAAACGGGTGTCCTGACCCCTGTCCACCCCACATCACACACCCTGCTCCTGCCTTGGCATGTGTAACC